GGCGGCACGGGGGAACTTATTCCCATTTGCATCAAGTTTCCCATTGTCCGATATAAGGAACTCACCATAAGTATTGTCCATAAAAAGAAACACGTGTTTGGAATTATTCACGGAGTCATAATGAAGATCTTCGCGAATTAAATCCTCGAAAAGAGTAGTACAACATTCACGAATACCATGAACATGATATTCATATGAAAGATCAAATTGCACAACTCTTCTCTGACTCCATGAATCTCCATTAGGGAACGTGTAAACGGACTCCCAATAAACTTCTAAAGAGATCGGTTTAGTCGTTGAGAGGTCATCGAACTCAACAATGACGCAAGCGGCAAGACCCAAGTAGCTGTTGTTATACCATTGATCAGGATGTGGAACGTTCATACATATCGAAGATTCCTCACTCTTATGACTAAACCACCTCGGAATTTTGCTTTCTGACCAGAAAATTTTATTATATACCTGTACATACCATAGTAGAGAGAGAACCAACATTATTATTTTAACACTCCCACTAAATCTTAACTTGTAATTAAAAAGAAGAGAGACATACCCGCGCCAACGTGTCACCTTCATCTTCATCAAGAGCATTATGATAGAGTCCGTATTTATTTACTAAAGTTGCCAAACGCAAAATTCTAAACAGTGCTTCATCCATAAGAGCATTGTGTGCGTTCTCATCCAACATTCCGCAACCCCAAAATTTGAACTCTTCCCACTTATATCGTCTATTATGGAGATCATCCCAATTTTGTTTGATCGAAGTTACTGAATTTGACATCGTCTTCAACGAGGCGCAACACGTCGCATCAAGAAATATTAGAGACGACGAAGGAAGTATTGGTAATGATTTAAGATTTCGACAAAAAGCAATTTTGAGTTTGCGTAAAGACCTTAAACAATGGATGCTATCAGGGAGAAACTCAAGATTTTGGCAAAATTTCAGGCTTAATGTTTTGAGCCCGGATAAGTTGCTTATTGACGAAGGCAGCTCTTTAATTGCCGCAAAATCTAATTTGAGAGTCCTTATGGACTTGATGAGCTCTGGGATGATTGGAAATCTTTCCAACTTTGATGAAAACTCAAAAGAGGGATACCATGTAATGTTGTTGCTACAAGAACAATCGGTTTGATCAAGCTGAATTGGTCCAGTGAGCACTTTTAATGTTCTTAAATTCCTTGGAAGCGCTGATAGCTTGCAAAGGGATGGGCAGCCTATGAGAGAAAGCTCTTTAAGCTTCTCAAGATGTTCGATATATGACGGAGCTTCGATCAAACGTACGCAGTACTGAAGTGTTATGCTCTCAAGATTTGGAGAAAGTGAGAGATCTGGAACTTGAGTTAGGTACATGGAGCCCGACAGATCGACTCTTTTTAAATTATCTAAATGCTGTAACAAAACAGATTCAGCAAGCATCACTTAGAATATTGTACATAATCAAGGCATGATGCGTAAAAGTAAAGGATAAATTGTGAAAGTCTCCTTTCTATGTTAGAACTTTTCCCAAATGACATGTTCTTTCTGAAAATAAAAATTCAATATGGCATAATTTCTTCTTCTTTTTTTTTTTTTTTT